CTCTCGTTCGTGCGCCCTCGCCGCTGGCCTGTTCGCGCGTGTCCTCGCCACTTGCGCGGTTGCTGCCCATGCTCGATGCCCCCGCATCCTTCTCGCGCTTGCCTACCCACTCGCGCGTACCATCGACGCCCGTGTCTCGATTGCCTATCGCGCACCCGCGTACACCCGCGGTTCCATGCGTATCGCCGACCCCCGCAGCTTTCCTACCTCTTACGAATGATCGCGCGTCATTTGCGTCCAACATCTCGGTGCCGCTTCTCCGTTTAACGCCTCGACCCTTCGACCTCTTGCGCGCATCACCGCACGATGCGCGCCATACGCCCGATAGCCAGTCCTCATCGATCCCTTTGTCCCCTGACTCCCTTTGTTCTTCTGACGGCCATGGATTCCAGCCATCCAACCCAATGCAGTCACCTGCACGCCATATCCAGCCATCTTCCGTTCCTAGCCTTCCCCGTCTTCGAAACTCTGAACACCACGCTCGTTTCTTCCTAGTGCACGGTCCACAACATTGGCTTGCCTTTTGCGCCTTTGTTTTTCATCGTCTTTTGGCCCGGCGCTTCTTGACCTTCAACTTAGCCCGTGGACTACATCCTTTTGGCCAGTCTCTCTTACATGACGATCGATATATCGGGCTTGATGGCTCCTCCAACATGTTTTCCAGCCAAATGTCGAGACCATCGTCCTGTTCCTCGTCGGACTCGCCTGGGTTGATGACCACTTCCATATCATTCCCCTCCTCTTCAAGACTTTCCTTGTCCTCAAGGATTAGAAAATTAAGCGCACAATCATCTTCATGGTTTTGAACTTCACCCTCCATTGTTCCTCGACCTTCTACGAGTTGTCGCTCGTACTCTTCTCGATTCCTTCGTTCATGGAGCTCGTCTAGATATGTGCTCTCCCAAGGTGTAAGTTCTCTCTCCAAATTTTCCAATAATTCGAGATCTTCCCAATCCATCTCGTCCATTGGCACATAAGACATATTTTTTTTTTACTCTAAAAAAAATCGAAAAAAATAAATGAAAAATTCGAACAAGAATTTCGAAAATTTCGACCCAAAAAGAAGAGAAATTCGGCCCCTCAACAAAAGGTAATAACCGAAAAATCAAACAAAGGACTAGATGACACTTTTTTTTTAAGACTCACGAAATTTTTCGAAAATTTGGACAAAAATTCGAAAAAATTCGAACCAAAAGAAACGAAAATCAGACCAAAAAAGAAAAAGAATGGGATAGAAAAGTTAACGAACACACAATCAATCACTCTCAATGAAAGCACAGATGATGATGGATCGTGTGTTCCGTTACCCTCGACTTGTCTCGATCACGGCTTCACCACGACCTTGCTCTCGACGATAGGTGTGATCGACTCGGTTATTAGCCTAACTCTTTCATGATACTTGAGTTCACTCGGGTATTAGCCTCGCTACACTCTTTTGAACTAGATCGGGCTTAGCCTCTCTAACTCGGTTGAACTGGCTTGGGTCTTAGCCTCACCAATTCGGTTGCATGATCGAATTCTCACGAACCCTAACACACGGGTTGAACAAATGTTCCTTTTCTATTTCATCAAATCCAAGACATGAAAAACAATGAGGGAACATCCCT